CTAAAGAGCTGCTGCAAAACGTTTATAGTACAGAGATCCTGAAGCAGAGAGTACACATCTGACAGAAAAATTAAGCCGTTAAAAACAAATGCATAGCTCTGGTTGCTTTTATTTTCAGACAAACAACATAGAAGGTAAAAGGAGTTCATACACAGAATATTTCCTTTTGCAGCCCATGATGCAGGGCTGTGTGTGCAGTGTTGATCATGAGATTTATGGGGAAGCTTTACATTAACTTTTATTTTTGCTGTGATTTCTACCAGTTAGCAGCCAGGAGATGGTGCAGGGATGAGGCGGCACTATCGACAGCAGGCTGTGAAGGGACTAGCTGCAATGGAGCGTGGTCCTCCTGGGAAGCAGTGTCCGAGCCCTGGGATCAGCCAGGGGCGGCGGATTGGCGAGGCACCGATGGTACCTGGTGCGGATCATTTGAGCTGCGTTAACTCTGCCGCTTGCCAGTGTGGGATGTTTACTTAATGCCAGATACATTTGTGCTGTATTGCTGCTGCTTGCTCTGCTCTGACTCCGGCCTTGTCACAGCAGAAGCAGCAAAACTGATCCTGGAGCATGTTTTTGTGACATGCCCAAACCAGCACAAAATTGCACAAATCCCTTGTTTTCCATTGTAAGAAAATCCTTTCAAGTGTGGAAGAGGAAGGAGAGGTGCAAAAGCTTCCGTGAGGTTTCTGCCTGCTCCTTCTGTCTTCAAGGGCAGCTCTTACAGCCACATACGGAGGCCCGCATCCTCCTGGCTCCTTTGTCCTTTAGTATAAAAAGTCATTTGTCAGCAAAAGAAACAAAGTTTTGTTTTTCAGTCCAGATCTGGCTGTCCTCCCACTGAGACTTTCAACTCTTTATCTCAGGAATTGATGGTCTCGGATTCTGATCCTCTTTCCTTGGTGTTTGTATTGATTTTTTTTTCCAGGAGGGTGATTTTCACTGTGGTTTCAAAACTATCTTTCTGTCTCCACTTACAGCAGGTAATAGCTCAGCTCGGAGAATTACATATTTTCTGAGCTGTGCTGGCCCCAGCTCTTTGCAGAAGTTCCCCATGCAATCTGGAGCCTGGGTAACCAGGCATCTTTGCTTTCCCACTCATGTCTCTCCAGGCTCATCGTGTGGCTGTGGTAGCACTCAGGAGTGGGGTGAGGGAAGCTGCCCGTGTGTTGGGTGTGAGTGACAGAGGTGACCAGACAACCTGGGTATTCTTCTTCCTTCGCTTCCAGAAACTGGCCCTTTGTTGTGCCGCTGGTGCTCGAGGAGACGGCTGGTCTGCTGTGCCGTCCCGGGCACAGCATCCCTCCACCGTGTCTGCTGGCCCCAGGGGGACGGCATCCCTCCGTCCTGCTCCCTGACCGCGTCCCTGGCCTGTCTTTGGGCTCAGAGGCCCGTCCGGTCATCAGCTGTGCCTGATAATGAATAAATCCAATAGTCTCAATTTAAAAGGCTGCTCTGTTTCCATCACCTCAGCGATGGCTTTTAGTCTTCCAGTCTTGCCAAAGAAAAATTCATGAGATCATTTCCCCAGAACAACATGATACTTCAAAATCGTAATTAAAATACCTCTGGCTGTTCTAATATTAAGCTTTTATAAGTGCTTGGAATAATATTTCAGATAAATGGAAAAGCTTTGTACTCTATTAGCCTGACATACCCTTATTCTAGTGAAACGTATCTCTAACATCAAATCCTCCGTATACATTGAAAATACTCTTCCGTGTTTGTTTCTTCAATGACATGAATGTGTATGCCTCCCGTGGGTCTTTCGGTGGTGAATGGAGCTATCCCAGGGGTCTGTATCGATTTGCTTCGTGACATTAATGCCTTCCAGTGTACCAGCAGCAAGATCCTGTGCATGAATACTAAATGGGAGGCTGTTGTGCCTCAGAGGCTGGTAAGTGAGATCCCATATATTAAACCATGTGAGTTGTGTGTCATATTAGAGCAATCTAGTTTTAAAGGGCATCTTTCAAGCACAAACTAGCTTTTTCCCACACTTGACTGATCACACAAATAACTGTGATTAAAGGTCAAGTGCCTGGGTTTTTCTATTTTACTCCTTAAAAATTTATATGCGAAAGAAAACCTAGAAGTTAACATAGCATGAAATTGTTATGCAGTTATGAGCCTTTAACGACAACTAAATATCACTTTTCTTCCTGGGTGGCTTGAACAATCTCCAGTAATAATGGGTCACTTCTTCTGGTTTCCACTTGAGGAAGATTATAAATAAACCCTGTCTTTTGCTTCCCTGCCCTGTAATGTGATGGAGAGGGAATTTTAATCATATGAACTTGTGACCCCCGCCATCAGGGTTGTACCCCTGGCTTGCCGGGAGCTCCTGGGCTGCAGGTACGAGGTGGGAGCGTTGGCTGGGCTCGAAGCGCTGGTGTGCTGCAGCAGCACCGCAGCAAAGCACTGGCCCAAGCTGAGCCCTCCTGGACAGAAAGAGCATTGCTGAATGGACAGGGATTTTCTCACTGGTCAAATTAGCACAGAGAAAAGGTAGTGGCTGTGTTTCCAGAGGGGCTGAGAAATGGAGGGAGAGCAGGAAACACCCTCTGGCTTCAGGCATCCAGCTGGGCGGTCTGCGTCCTGTTCTGGGTCTCTCCCCCAGATCTGCCAGGCTGCAACTAACGTGGTAGCTGAATAGCAGTTTTGGGGGCTGAGATGGGATATGAGGGGTCTGTACTTGGGGTGTGGGGCGAGTGCTGGAAGACATGGAGAGCAAGTAGAAATATTAGAGGTGTATATTGTCAAATTCAATTGTGGATCCTCATTATGCTTGAAAAATGCTTCCTCCATTTCTGCAGAATGGCCACAGCAGCCGCATCTTCCTCTGAGCTGGCCAAGAGCCCCAGATTGCCAGCAGATTTACAGTCAGATGCAATGCCTCCCAAACCTCTCAAAAGCAAACATGCCTTAGGTATTAAAAACACTTGGAAAGGCAAGATGCCTGTGGAACAGGTTAAAGAAACATTGAGCTCCGGGTTTGGAGCTGGTACCCAGGTTGTTCAGGATTCCTGATCCCGCAGGGACTTTCACACATGGTTAAATCTATTCACATGGGTAGTCTTATTGACTTCAGGAGGAGAGTACTTAGAAGCTGGGGCACGAGGCAAATGAACTGCAATCACCATATCTAATTAATCTTATTATGCAATGTGCAAATCTGAGTCTGACTGGCAGCAGGCTTCAGTAGGATACCTGCTCCAGTAAACTTATGCATGGGTGAGGCACTGCAGAATTCAGGCTTTAGTGTCTAACGCTTTAAGGTGTTTAAGTGCAATGTGTTTGTGCAGACACACAACACTGCTCTTCCCCTGAAATGCCGTGCCCCCCCCCAGTTTTCACATGGGCATGTTCACTGGGTTGCTGTGCCCGGCAGCCCTCGCTGCACCTCTCGTTTCATGCATGGGTTTTGGTGTAGCTGGGCAAGTCCTGCTGCCAGTGTGACCCAGCCCTCAGCTCTCTGTGTCAGGACACAGCCCTCCGCACTGGGTGCTCCTCGCCTGCCAAGCCAGTGTCTGAGTCCCTCACCGTCCTCACTCGGGGTTGCCAGCTGCAGCAGCGGGGATCCAGCAGCGATGGTGAGGGCAGGGGCTGCCCCTCCACGGGGCTGTGGGGCTGCGCACAGGGCTTGGCCTGAGGTCCGAGCACCCACTACTGTGAACAGGGACTGTGTACGGGGTGCCATAGCCCAGCCAGGCTGCGTTAGATGGGGACTCAATATTTTTATTCCAGACTTGCAATGTTTTGCATTTGACAGCACATCATCACAGCGAAGGGAACATCCCACAGGAACAAGTGTTGCTACATAAGCAAGCTTTGGTGTCGCAGTATCAGCCATCAGGTGGGGAACTGACGGGTGTTCAGCCTGACTAAATTTTGCAGAGACCTGCAACACCTACAATTAGCGATAATCAAACCTCGTTGAGTTCCTCCCCCGGTGCAGGAGGCTGTGGGCCTGGCAGCACGCACCTCGCCTGCAGTGAGTTGGGAATTGCCTCCCCCATCCCAGCCAACCTCACCGCAGCCTTCCCGTGGCGTGCTTGCCGCAGCAGCGCTGCCCTTCATGCAGGTCTGGCAGGACCCGCCCTGCCTGGGGCCAGCTTTTCCTGGGGTTTCTTTCTGGCCACTCTGACTCTTACGGCAGCTGGTGGGCTTGGAGGACCTTGAGACGAAGCTGGGAATCAAATTTCAACCCAGAAAGGCAGAACAGAGGGCTTGACATAAACCCGGCATTCCTGGGCATCACTTGCAGGCAAGGGCAGTAATGAGACCTGCCCCGCTGCTCTCTTGGGCCCTGTGGTGCAGAAATAAGGCTCTGACTCACCACTGACTGCCTGTTAAAGGCAGCAGGGTGCAAATGTCATTGAGGGGGGACACATAGCACTCTTAATTATGGCTGTGACCACTAGGCCACCGCATCTCAGCATCAGCAATAGCTGTCCGTGCCCCAGCAGTCCTTTGGCTTCCATGGGGAGGGCAGATCCTGCCCTTGGCAGTGGTACCGGGCAGCCCAAAGCTCAGCCCCGCTGTGCTCGGCCTGTTCCGGCAGGAGCCAGCCCCACAGATCATGCAGCGAGACAGAGCTGGTCGAGGACCATCCCGCAGCTGCCATCAGTAGACTTCAGAGTGAACGGCGCCCCCGCGCCCCGCCCTCGCCCCGCCCCTTCCC